ATTTTCTAGATTTTGGTGACTCCGCTGGACAAAACCGGGGGCTGAAATATCGAAAATTTCACTTCTGAAACGGAGAAGACCTAGAAAAGGCTGAAAAACTAACCTATTAGTAACATCGGAAAGTCCTCTTCTCAAAGTTTTGATTGAATTACTCAGAACATCTTTTACTTCCAGTTCTTCATTTTTTGAACAAATCATATTTGTTGTTTGTATGTGTAAGGACTCCTCAATGACTAGATCATCCATTTCCATATCAAGGTTTTTGAACTGAAAATTTACATTATAAAATACTTCATTTTCGATGTAAAAATAATAATATTAGCACTAGAAAAAAGCAATTCTCTCCCACATATTTCTCTTTTTTTTTCAAACATTGTTTATCGAGATTTCCAGAACCAATTCCTTTCATGAGCTTCCCACTGACTATTATAAAGCTGTTATAAAAGCAGATTGTATCTACACTCTTTTCCATGCTCATTTGGCTTACAGTCTCCAGAATTATGAGGTCAAGCAAAAATCCTCGAGATTGTTTCCAGTATTTCGGCAGATGTATACAAAAAAGAATAAGTTAACCATATTGACCTTCGCGTTACAAAACTTACAGTTTTAAATCTTTCCTCCCTTCTTTCTATGTTTTTGAAGCACCACAGTGAATTTACATTCAATTTAAGTTTTATCAAACCCGCCAAATGATTCCATTTTATCTGTAGGCACATTACTTCATCGCCCTTCAATCCAAAAGATAATTAATAATTGTGCAAAACCCAATATTTTCCGCTTATTTTTCACTTCTACACAAATGTCAAGACGTTTTTCAGAACAAGAAAGAGTCCCAAGCTAAAATGTCATAAAACATTACTCCTCTGTAATCACTTATCTTTAAAGAGAAACGGGAAATTTGGTCGAATAAAATGTATTTGAAAAAAAGGAATTACAACACACAACAGCTGCAATAACGACATTGTTCGTACTACATACTTTTTTATTTTTTATGAAAGAAGAAAAATGTCATAAATTCCCTTAAAAATTCTTTGCTTGGTTCCCAGCTGCTCTAATCCTTGTTCATGTCCCCAAAAACTCCTCAGGAGTGACCTCATGCATGTCTCAAGAAGTAATTATGTGCGGCCCCTTACCGCATGTGGTATCGGATGGTAAACAACAGCAGGTAGGCAAACTCTTACCTGGAACGTCGAGGATTTCTTGCAATAGGAGGAATGTGAGGAGAAGTCAATAGGCATATTCTCATAGTCCATCCTCA